CCCCCACAACTTCGCAGTAATCCAGTACACCACCTATCCTAGTCAGGTCCCTTCTTTTCCTAATTGATGGCCCCTTCACAAACGAATTCGTTCGTATAAGAGGCCATGACACTTTTTGCAAATATTAAAACTTTTGTTGTATTTTCTAATCAACATGAAATTAGCATCTGAAAAAATACTAATTCACACAAATTTAATTTCACATTTGTTATTCTCTAAATCTGATTTTGAATTTACAAAATTTAAACTATCTATAAATTGTAGAGTAGTGTCTCAAAATCGTCATTGATATTTTATCAGATCGTATACAGCTAATTCAAAAAAGGTTGTCCTTCGAAAATCTCAAACTCTAAGCGCGCAAAGAGTGATGGGTAACTTCTTTTTAAGGCTTTTGGTTGGGCAAATAATCCTACTACACTGCTAGTTGTACATCTTCTTGCCATACTTGCAATGCGAAATTCGCAAGTTTTTGGCCTTAAGTAAGAAGTTACCCATCACACCTTGAGCGCTTAGAGTTTAAAGTGTGAGATTTTTGAAGGACAACCTTTTTTGAAACAGCTGTATATATACTTGCGTGCATACACACCGAGTATACATAATAATCATAATTCAGCATGAGGTTGTCCTATGATAGCCAAAAATCGAAATTACAATGGACATGTATACATCTCTTTCTCGTTTTGCGCAGCACGACGTCCAAACTCTGTCAGTCAGTGCTGGGAAATGTTTAACAAAATATCTTCGCAAGAATTTTTCTTACACCTTGTCTTATAAACTGGAATACGATAATTTACTTCTTTAAAAATTCCAAAAGCGTTTTGCAAGTCGAGATAGTTTTGTGCCGAGATTGCAGCTTATCACAATGTATGGCACCATATATACGTTCTCTGAAATCTACATATATGCAGTCCGTTTTATATTTGACTTACACAGAAAATTTTCACTCTTGCATGGATTTTGCTGTCTAGGCCTGTCTCAGAGGGCCTATCTATTACCCCAGTAAACACGAAGCTCTAGGAAGATGTTCTGTGACTGGTTGATTATGAGAATGACAAAAGATGCAATTGGCTTACATAAACAAAAGGAATATTGTTCTTGCTTCGTTCTTTAGAAAATCCATTCAATAGCTTATTCTTTTGTCATTGTCATAATCAACCAATCACAGAACATCTTCCTAGAGCTTCGTGCCGACCATATTGGCCAAGGGTTTTGACCATTAGAGAATTTGGACAACCATTGGCTGTATACACCAACATTGTAACGACTTATGTCTGCAGGACATTTTATGCTTTTGTTCACAATTTAATACCATCTCCACTGTATACCAGATTCAAGCGTCGTGTATTTAACCACATTATACCCTCATAAGTTTTGTACCAAACCCGTGCTAAAATTCCTGAGGCCGGTTCTAGGATAACCTCTAGCAGAGTCTGTGGACAAGCCCGAGTAAAGCTTACCCACCAGGTAAAGCTGTTTTTCACTTGAACACATGCAGTACCCTACAGTTCGTATCGAAAGGTATACGTATTTCTTTTTTGACCACCTGGGTGAAACTAATCTCTTCGATACAAAAGAAAGGGATATGGAATAAAAAATGAAGTTTGTCCCATTTGATAGAACTGTTAAAATTATATGTAAAATCCCTGTACCGATTTTTCGTATCGTGCTTTTCACATTTTGCCTGAAAACAATGAGCCGTCCGCCATCTTGGATTAATTTTTCATCTCATTCACAGTGGTTTTGCTGACGTCAAAAGCAGGGTTAGACCAAATAACAATTGGTACATTCTTAAAATAGTGACCGAAGTTTAATTATGGGCACATCATGCGACCATAGCATGTCTAGGTAAAATATTTGCATGTGACGTGATGTGTCTACAATAATCCAAGATGGCGGAAAGCTCACTGGTTATTGATGATTCAAATATTTCGCGAACTACAGCATTTGGAGTAGTCTATACGGATTTGTAATTATTGCCGCCTTTCCGGGTGTAGGGTCTACGCGCAGCTGTAAAAATGATTGCCATATATATAATTTTAAAAGTTCTTTCAAATGAGACAATCTGAATTTTTATTACCACATGCATATCCCTTCAAGATACGATACGATGTACAAGTTGAAGTAAAAAACAAGCTTATGCCAACAGTGTTCGTAGAAGCGGCTTATAACGTGCCATTTGCCACGATTCTAGGCTCTTCGCTTGCCTTCGGAGGCGACCGATTACGAGTATGACCCGAGTGTAGTACGAAGTTGCTGTCATGACAGTATGGCCATACTTGATCGTTTCGACGTCAAAGCGTCAAGACTTGAAGTTCGTTTTAAATTCGGTAGAGATAGATCTGTCATGTTGTTGTCGCAGATACTTGAAATCGCCTGGGAACGAAAAAAAATCGTTCAGTATATATAAACACAGTCATACACGTATCTGATTAGAGAAAAGAGAGAAATATTTAGAGTAACGAGTAGTGTCGGGCGATATTAAAATTATCATATCACGATTATCGTCTAGGAAATTATCACGATATTCGATAATATCGCGATAAATGCAATAAAATCAATGACCACACAATTTTAATAAATATCAATAGTAAATATTCTACTATATGAACGAGTAAAAACCTTGCTTCATTACATGATTTTCATCAATTCTTAAAATTAATAATTCATGAAGAAAATTCAAAAGAAATGAATGTTTAATCAATGTTTGTTACTAATCGGATAAAGATTTGTCATGATTTACATAAACTTCAGCTCTGATTTTCTCGGCTTAGACAATGACAATGTTTATTTTTAAAAATTACTTCGCCATCGAACTCATAAGATGCGTCATTTTTTAAGTACGTTAAAACATTCGCATTGATCTTTATCTGCATGATATACAAACTCTCGCCTTCGGCTCGAGTTTAACTCATGTTTAACTAATACATATGTCTGTACTTTATTCCATTTTTTTTAAAAGGAAAATTACTGGAAAGGATTTACAATAATCCCTTCCTTGCTGCACGAATATGCGTTCTGATACCGTGATGGTATTGACTATTGGTAGTCCAGGTTTGTGTGCCTTTATTCCAAAAAAACTCCATGCAGCGCTCTTTGTATTTTTCTCTTTAGGTTCGGTCACTTCGGTGTCAGATTCATGCTGCAGCTAGCATGCAAAACATTTCGTTTGCCGAACATTGATCGTGTTTCCGGCGACCACTAGTATAAATATACTAGCTTTTGTATCGTAATTCGTATAGCATCCCATTGGTGGCAAGCTTTCCGGCAGAAAATAGTTTTAATTCCTTTAAAACTATAGATCTTCCAAGGAATTGAAAGACTTTTTTAACAATTTCGTATTGTATAAAAGGTTTGCACATATTACATATACGAAACAATATCACGATAGTCATCGAGCACGATGTCTGATGATAATTTCGATAGATCGTCGCTCTCAAGTTTCTACCTTCGATACGATAATCGTGATGAGAATAATTCGAAATATCGTTCAACTCTACTAACAAAGGTATTGTATAGTTTCATCTGTGATATCGTGTTTATTTATACCGATTTTCGGTACCTATAGTACAGTCTTTTATTTGATAAAAGCCATACAGAAAAAATGAACATGGCCATGGGTAGTAGGTATTGAAAGTTAAGTACAGTACATGTTGAAATCCACTCACAGACAATTTACAGTACCTCTAGCTTTTTAGCTCTTTCTCTACTCAATGGTTCCAAGGGAAAAGCCAGTTCGTTTTCTTCAGCTAGCGACCTTAGGTCGAAGTAGTATTTGGCGTAGACACTTGACGGTACGTTGATATTAAACTGCAAGAACTCCAGAAACGACCTCTCCAATTCATTCCTAAAAATAATGGGTAATTTGTGCAATGGCTTTTCATGCAATTACGCGTTACTGTTAAATTGAATCTTAGACTTACATATCTTCAACTGTTATGTCTTTTAATATTTGGCAATAGTCCACATTCCAAACTAGAAATAGGATAAGAGAGTATATACTTATAGCTACAGCCACACTGCCATAATAAAAGGTCACCTGTTCCGCACGTTGTAACCAATAATCTATTGGCGTTGTAAAGCCATTGTATGCAATAAAGTATTGCATCGTAACTGAAGACAAAACCACAAGCATTGGACAAAAGTTTTAGTTATAAATGTAATGGCCCTAAAAAGGAGGTCGGTCGAGCCAGCGTGGGGAGACGGTCGGAAGAACAGAAGAGGTCATCGGCTTTGGGGTTAGGATTAAAGTTAGTTAGGATTAGCGTTTAGGTTAGGGTTATACTTTATTGCAATACTTTATTGCATACAATGGCTTTACAACACCAATAGATTATTGGTTACAACGTGCGGGAAAGGCTGAAAGGTTCATGTCCAAATATTGTAGCTTTATGTGGACAGATTTAGAAAATATGATGGGACAAATTCGACAATGCGGTGTCAATTTCAGTCCACGAATGAGCGCTAAGGAATTTGATTACTGTACTAAATGCTTGAAGCTTTTTCAAATAACCTTCCAAACAGCCAAGCTCGGCAAAAACGATGTGGTTTCTGCTATATGACTGACTATATGTCAAAAATTTTCTTTCGGCTCGTGAACGACATAAAATCGTTTGATTTTGGTCATATAAAAAAGTGCCCCTTTTGGCCTATGGCCCTCCACTTTCGAAATGCTTTCGCGACCTCTGGCCGGAAACGTGTATTCTCTTGTAATTGAAGGATATTTTATTTTACCAGCTTGATCATCCCAGACTTTGGACGAAAGTAGTATGGCACCAAGCACAATTCTTTTCCAATTTCCAGGATATATATCTATTTCAGCATACGTTAATAACCTCTCTAAATATATCTAGAATATGAAATGATGGTATGATAGTTAGTGCACGTGTCTTTACTGTCGTTCCAATTGAAGTGTTCCTCAAATATTGATTCAATACATTACCTCTGGCTGACCAATTCATACGAATTCAATTCTTTTTTTACTTCCTGTGCGTTTCCTATTGGTCAATCGGTTCTGAAACGAAATCTAATTGGCTCATTTAAAAGCAGCAGGAAGTTGATCAATTTTCTATCAAATGAATTGGTCAGCCCGAGGTAATGTATTGAATCAATATTTGAGGAACACTTCAATTGGAACGACAGTAAACCTCTATGACCAGGGATAGGGTTCAATTGTGACAAAATAATTCCAGTTTGTCTCTACCTAATGCTGCATATTTTCTTTGGGTAGTTTGGCTTCCTCCTGCAGTAACACTGCACCAACAAGGGAGTGCCCTTACTGGAGCTCTAGAGGGACCTTTATAGAGCTATCCAATATACATAGAGTTAGTTAAGTACAGTATATTTAGGCTGAAGGATAGGTGAGAAATGAAGAGACCAGAAGATGATGTGGAGTGGTAGACATTGCAGTATGAGGGAATCAAAGCTGACATGATATGGACATGTAATAAGAAATTTAAGGAGAGGCAATCATAGACATTAGCCAGTGTTTAGAAGGAAGAGTTTGGGGGATGTGGAGTGGTAGACATTGCAACAAACGTGAAGAAAGCAAGATTGAGATGGCATGGGCATGCATTAAGAAGGGATGAAGGATATTCAGTCAGGGACATCATGATATCAGAAGAAGATGCACTGTGGTAGACATTGCAGAGAAGGTGAGGGAAGCAAGGTTGAGATGGCATGGACATCTATTAAGAAGAGACTGATGAAGGATATTCAGTCAGAGATGTAATGAAATAAAGATATCAGAAGACGATGCACTGTGGTAGACATTGCAGAGAAGGTGAGGGAAGCAAGGTTGAGATGGCATGGACATCTATTAAGAAGAGACTGATGAATGATATTCAGTCAGAGATGCAATGAAATAAAGATATCAGAAGAAGATGCACTGTGGTAGACATTGCAGAAAAGGTGAAGGAAGCAAGGTTGAGATGGCATGGACATCTATTAAGAAGAGACTGATGAAGGATATTCAGTCAGAGATGTAATGAAATATAGATATCAGAAGAAGATGCACTGTGGTAGACATTGCAGAGAAGGTGAGGGAAGCAATGTTGAGATGGCATGGACATCTATTAAGAAGAGACTGATGAAGGATATTCAGTCAGAGATGTAATGAAATAAAGATAGAAGAATATGCACTGTGGTAGGCATTGCATAAAAGGTGAGGGAAGCAAGGCTGAGATGCTATGGACACATAATAATAAGAAATTTAAGGAGAGCCAATCGGAGACATTAGCCAGCGACATTATGGAATGAAGAGTTCGGCAGATGCGGGTTGGTAGACATTGTATAGAAGGCGAGGAAAGCGAGGGTGAAATTGTATGGACACGTAATAAGAAATGAAGAAGAGCTGGTCAGAGACATAGAATGAAGACACTGGAAGATATAGAGTGGTAGACATTGCAGAAAAGGTGAGGGAAGTAAGGTTGAGTATGGAGCAAGTAAGATAAATTATGGAACTGGAAATGAATGGAACAGTGGAAGGAGAAGCCCAGAGATGAGAACGAATAAAGGAAGATCTACTATCAAGGAACAGATGAGGAAAGAATCTGAGACGCTGAGTCCAGGACAGTCAGAAGATTTTATTGCCATGTGACAATCAAGGACAGAGTGTAATAATTATAATTCCTACCAATGTTATTATTGCACATTCTGCAGTTAGCTGTGCTGCATGAAATAAGGTTTTAATAAATTTATAAATCTGTCTTTGTGTTGGATCCACCATGTCATAATCATCTGTTACATATTCTCTCTAAAACAGAAACAGATCATCACTTCCATAATTAAACAGGTGACAGATCTCCAACTAATGGTAACATGACAAACTTATTGGGTAATTAGCTGATAAAATTTTTGCAGGCCATTTTACCAGACATGAAGAAAATGTTTCCTTGGTACAGTATATTTTGGCTTAATAGATTAAAGGATAATGTTAGCCATTCTTACTGTTAATGGATGGCGTCTTTCATCAAATATATCAAGCGTCCTCGTTTCTGCATCCCTGATAAAGCAATTTCAAAGTAACATGTTGAATATCAATATCACATTCAAATGAATAAATTCTTCACAAACACAAGAGTGAAGTTTATTTTCAACATTGTTTTATTTTCTTACCTGTACTTTATGAGGAAATAAACAGCAACCGAGACACTTCAAATATAAGAAAAAACTTCTGTCAAAAACGATCTATTTTACTTATTACAGCTAAAAGCCCTTTATATAGTTTTATTCCTATATACAGGTGTATGCTAATATGCCTATTTTGATGGCATTAATCCGTCATGAGTGGCATTAATCCATGAGTGGCCTTAATTAATTATTATAAGTTTATACAGGAGGGATTGCAGAATTTTCAGGAGTGTGGCTACTTGATAAGCAAAGCATGGTTGATGATGAGATAGCAGCCAGGGGGGGGGGGGTGCACCCACATATGCCTTTGTCTGAGCGGCTAATTCAATGAACAATACCTACCATTTCACCATAGACTTCAAATTAGGCTGGCTAACAGTACTGTCGTCAAGGAAGATTGTTGAACACGAGCTGCACTTTTTTGAAAGTCGTGGGTTGTAATAAACCTGGAATATTAACATAAAGGACAACAAAGTTTAGTGATGTTAATATTTATTAATGCTTGATCACATCAATCACATTATAGCTCACATACTTCACCATTCTGCTTCCGACGAAGATCAACATTCAGAGAAATTGCCCGTTTTCCACGCAGTTTTCCTCTCCCTAGTGAGGACAAAATAGGTATACATTATAGTATACATTAACGAGCAGCTCATAACTATGGCAGTTCTAAGGCAGACATCACTCTAGTGCGAGCATGCCCCTAATACAGACATCTCTCTATAACAGACACCTCTTCGCTGTAAAATAGCTGACACTTATTTCTCTAATACGGACACATTGCTGTTCACGACCTTTTAGTGTCCATATTAGACTGCTTAGTCAATATACAGACAAACATTGATTAAACCCATTAGGGCACATTGGGGTGCAATGCCAGTCAATGGTAACATCAATCTTTTTCATTGTATAACACAGACAATGAGAAACGAATTTGACCCCAGTTTAGTAAATAAAACATCATAATCCCCAACCAGCATGCACTACAGTACGATATTGAGGAAAATGCACAAAAAGCATTAACACACATCTCTAATATCCTTATAGTGTAAATTTAACTACTTAGCTATGCAAGGCTATAATTTAAAGAGCAATTTAATAATTAGCGGCAAGCAGGTATAATAAACCGAACCTATTTCAAAGCTGTAAATTGCTAGAGATAATTACAAACGTGCATTAGGATGACAAAAGCATGAAAAAACGTACCTGAAAACTTCATCGATTTCTGCATAAATAATGTTCCTTGGTGGTTGCTTAAATCTTAAATAAAACGTGAAATATTATTGTAATACAATATCCAGTCAAACCACTTGAAAGCAGGCTACGCATCATAGTGTATATTAAAAACATGTCAACATAATTTCAACACTGACCAAATCCTGAATGCATTTAATCTTTATATATATATACCTTCTCTCTCGCTGATATGCGGTAAATCAAGGCTGCTTCCATCTCCACGTTTCGGTGAGAAAATAGCATTTCTATCGAAATTATGGTCGCTTGCAGAATGTGGCATACAACATGTCATATTCCCCATGTTTTAGCACAAACTCTACTCTGTTCTAAGAGATCGATCGCTCGATCTATAAAACACTATTTCTCCTTTACATATAAATCAGTCTTGAACTCTTAACCATATACTAGTCCTTTCGCCCCTCGACTTCATTCCTTAATACCGTAAACAAAAATCGCGTGTATAAATGTCGTGTTTGTTGCGTTTCAAATCAATTCATATTTTCAAGATTCTTAATTCTTTACATTTTACATTTACTTTGCTAGATTTGTTTCTTTCATGAATCCCCTTCGCTGATTGGTCCATATGGAGTATGACGTCACGTGGTTAGTAATTTTAATTACCGTTCCCCCCGGAATTGTGTTTGTGTAATTTGAGGCCTGCTCTCTGAGGCTTACTGTTGTATAGAATAGAATATATTTTACTCAGAAAAAAAAATTTACAAGTTGTATTCTTGTACAGGGGGTATTTTGTTTGTGGTGACCACTATTAAAATTTGGGCTGTGGTTACCACTATTAAAATACAACTGTGCCTGTGATATATTATGAGTAAATGGAATCGAAATAGAAAATCCCATCGATTCAATCTGGTTTTCAAGCATTCGCCAAATATTTATAAGAACTCGACTTTATTGAGCAATGATGTGCAGTTGGCACAGCTCACAACAAATACGTCAACTATAGCATACAGGTGGGGTTTAAGGAAGCACAGAATGACAGATGGTGCTCAACAGTCAAATGGAGGCAAAAAGTCTCCTCAGCAGTTAAGAGATATTGGCTCTGAGATATTGCTAGAGATGAGCAATATAGTTTTGGAGTTGACCATCAGATTGGCCTTGTGTCAATCTGTCACACTTTGGTCTAAAGTGTCTAAGATGGTCAATTTCAGAAATGTCAACACAGTTACACAGACAGTTGTTGTTGTTGGTTGCAAAGTTGTTGCAAAGTTGGTTGCAATGTTGTTGCAAAGTTGTTCAGTCATTTGCGAAACAGAGTGCCCGCAATCCTTGCGACCAGCAGCTTTCAATGTCACTGTTTCCATGGTAACAAGCACGAATAAACCAGAAAATCAAAATTTACAACAAGAAGCTTGGCTGTTTCTGGAGCAAAATTTTGAAAATCTAGACAAATTTTAGCAGTTTTTCGTCTTTAAACAATGTACGACGACGACGAAGAGCAAGAAGAAGGGCCAAAGAGCTCGTTCACGACATATTTAGCCGAAGGAGACGTTTTATTCAAGCAGGGGGAGTTCAAGAAAGCGCTAGATAGCTATAATTTGGTTCGTATGTTTTGTGGAAGTTTTGTCTTCGTTTTAAACAGTTCTTAACTT